ACTCCACCACTGGTGATGGACCAGTGGGAACAGCAACAGAAATGGTTTCCAAAAAGCCAAACATTGCTCTGCTCCCAGGCTGCTGCTAAGCCGTTTCTGGTGGGAGGCTGGCCCAGCTGACCTCTGGGGTCCTCTGCAACCAAAGTTTTTGTGAAACATTCTGCGAAATAGTGTTCACAACTACTCGATCCCAGGCTTTTGGCTAGTAGCAAAGATGCCAGACACAATGCTGACTTTGTTGAATCAGACATTTATAAATTGCATTCAGCCAGAACAGCTCACAGAGGATGCTGAAAAGGTAGGGTGGCTAGGACAAGAAATAGAAAAAGCAAAAGTAAAAAAGAGAAAGGGGAAAACGAAAGAAGAATCTCAGTCACAATCTCTCTGAATTGCTGCTTTATAGCATCACATCTGCGTCAGACACTTTTATGGAACTTCTGTGATTCTATTCTATGATTCTAACTAGGCAATGGGACATTCTAGTCTTTTACAACAGTTCACTACTTCTCCTACTACTTATCAGCATTGTATCTGCAGGAAACCGAGTGAGCCGTTTTCCTATTTTGCTAAGTACAGGTGCAGCATTTGATTTCACCTTTATGGACTAAAGCTAAAAGATCCTTTCCTCAGAAAACTGAAAGACCAAATTTCACATCTGGCAGCAGCTGGTCTCAGCAGCCAGCATGTGGCTCACCTAACGACAAGCGTGTAACTGAGACACCAAAAGAAGAGGACATTCACCAAGTCAGCTATACCATTTGGAAGAGCTTGTGCTCCAGGAAGCTGAGGGTGCTCCAGATGGACATACCTCCAGTGGGAGCAGACTCTGGAACCATGTAACCACGGGGGGTGGAAGGGAGAAGCTCAGACTAAGGCTACAGGACGCTTCCACCTATACAGACCATCAAACGCTAGTCATACTGAAGCTTGACCTTATGTTCAATACATTGTGCCAACCTTCATCATCACTACTTCCTTTGCATATTTCTATCCCTTTCCTCCACTGAATTATGCTGGAAGTCCCCTAGAAAGTGTTTGAGTATCCACACGCCTTGGACCATGATCTGGACTGGCGCAACAGTAGAAATATTTAACAAAATTCAAGTCAAAGAGAAGGTATGGACATTTTTTCATTCTTACTTCCCTTGGTCACTCTAAATAACTCTGGGTAAGAACAAACTGTTTGTACCCACCAGTAGAAGACATATCATCTATAAATTTCATCTACAGCAGTGTAATTGTGCAGAGAAATCCACATATGGGACAGTTTTCTTACGTATGTCTCTCCAGTAGAATTTTCTTTTCACTGATTTCATCTGTTATTCTAGATTAAAAATGGAAGTTTCTGCAAAATAAATTCAGAATAATGTTTCTGGATTTGTCAGCAGCAGATATCATAATTCATCCCATCATTTCTAATGCTTAGAGGGAAAAGTCAATAAAATGCGAGAAAAAATGGAAGGGAGAAAGCTTCCTTTGTACTCGACAGCACCAGACCTACCATATTCCAGAACACTGCTGGTACTACTACATCAATAAAATTGTCAAACAAAGCACAAGTAGAGAAGTATGCTACTGTCATTTTTAGGATTTCTTGAAGGTTTGTCAATAAGGTATTAGAAATTCACTCAAGTCTGAAAACGAAGTTATTTTTACACTCAAATTTGTAGTTTCTACTTTGGAACTGCAGAACGGTCAGCCATGTAAAGTCATAGATACACTGAAGCCCAAATCTTGCACATTGCCCCTCATTGTGCATGTGTACGTAAGGCCACCAAGACTATTTTGATTCCATGGACATGTCAGCCTGTACAGAGAAAGGAAGTAAACACATTTTTTCCTGAAATTTGCTTGCAGGCTCAGGTCTTCTTCAGTACTCCTAACCAAGAAAAAATATGGCAATTTAATAAAACACGGAGAAAATCCTACAATGTGACAGATCAGCTATAAAAGCACACACTGAAATGAGGACAGCCTTTAAGCCATCGGAATTTTCTTCATGAGACCACATTTTTTCTGTGTCATACTCAGCACGCAGAGATTTTCATTTTTCAGAGCTATAAGGAATTTGACAAGTAAACCTACTACAGTTAATAGCATTTTAATCTTTATGCATAATAATCACAAACCTACATTGTACAGGTTTGATAATAATAACTGACAGCTGAATTTGAAGTATACATTTCATTCCAAAATAGATGCGCATGTAGGTGGATGTGTTGTAGAAATATAATACACTACATGGCTGAGCCTAGATAAGCTGGTGGTTCTCAAACGTCAGCATCATCTGCACAAAGTTAGGGTTGAAATCTGCTCTCTTAAATACCTGTTCATCCTTCTTATGACACTTTCTCTAAAGAGCTTAGTGAATAGTAGATAAAATAAGTATCTAATGAGGTATGACAGAAACTCTGATGGAACTAAACAGCAGAGATCTAAATTCTAATAAATAAATGAAGTAAAACATTTACTGCCAGCAACTATGTCAAGTTAGCCATAGGAAACTGTAGCTCTGCAGCTGGAGAAGGGCAATACTCTGCAAGCCAGAGAAGTGATGGAACTTCTCCAGCTTTGATTATTTATGGCGTGATGATGAAGAAACAACTTTCCATGCGAGGAACAGCTTTAAAGTTGAACAGTGAAGCTGAAACAGAGATTTAATGAAAAATCAGAGGGGAACAAAACTACAGCTACAAAAATAATAACATTCGTTCTAACAATTTAAAAATATAATTTATGTGCAAAACCAGATGTTAACTTGTCCAGCTTCAAGGTCAACAGCAAACTGCATTCATAACAACCCTTTCATTGAACAGCAAACACACACTATTTAATGTTCCTGTAAATAAGTCTCACTTCGTACCTCCACATGTTATCAAAATGAACACAAATGCAAAACAAACACATTTTAAACAAAGGACACATCTGTATTTAATGCAAAGCTATTTTCAAAAATCCCAACCTTTCATAATCTACCTTAATCATAATAGCCTGAAACATAAGAATGCTTTCAGGCTCAGAAAAAAAGGCTTCTAATTTTAAACATTTATGAGGACACTGAGAAGTGGCTTAGGACCATGCTTTAAAACATGTTTTCAGGCTTTAAATTGCTGAAAGCTGAGACCCCTTTACCCATTTGGCCTGGACTAGAGAAAGGGAGAGAAGCACAAAAATATGATGGAAAGACTGTACATGAAAATTTCCATTTAAAAAAAAATGCGACCGACTCCCTTATCCCAAACCTCCTTCCTCCCATTATCATTGGACCTCCCCCTCCTTTTACATGAAATGAAAGGGAGCAACTCTTCTTGCCTGATAAGCACCACCAAAACCTCATCTACATTACTGGCTCTGATGCACCACCATTTTTAACAAACACTTTTTGAAAATATTTTTGAAGGACAACTGTGCCATCGTTGGTGCTGTTCCTGAACAGGAGGGACTCAGTCTCAGAGCTGCATTCTTTTCAGCTCATTTTAAACTATACCAAGGGATGGGTGATTTTGCAAGGAAAGGTGATTTAATGTCCATTCTACATAATGAACATGATCAAACCTTTTTAAAGATTTTTGCCCAGCTCTTAAAATGCATACTTTATGCTGGGAATGAACTTCCCATTGATATATTGTAACTATGTGAAGGAGCGATTGTTCTCACATTTCTGTTTCAGGGGAAACACCAAGCTGTTTGATTTTGAAAGTTAAAAGATTAAGTTGGGGGGAAAAATTGCTTCTAAATGCAAGCACACTCTCCTAAATTATATAGCCTCAGTTTGACATGAAACACTGACTTTAAAATTAGCTATTCCTTTCCAAATATGCCATACATTCTCTTCCACCTACCCAATGAAAATAAATATGAATATATTGTATGCATTAAAAGATGGGTGTGTCAAGAATAAGAACAAGTAATATTTTTGAAGTAGTTCAGCATACAAAAGTAATATAAAAAAGCAAAGAAAGAACCACAAATATGTATTTATAGCAACAGATAGTAGGAAGGAAGTTTTGAAAACCCACAGGGATTCTGCCACCTTACCAAGCACCTGTACAGTTCTATGAGCATTTTCCTTTTGTCTTTTATTTTTCCTGGCTCCAGTCTTATAGGTCAACTCCAGGGCAAAGCGCCATAGAACAAGAAATTACGCTCAAAACTATTACCTCATCAAAATTGCCTTTACTGTTTAAAAACAAAACACATACACAAAATATTGCAACAGCTTCTGGAATGCCACTCAGAAAACCCAATACTTTTAGATCTCTTCTCATGTTCTCATCACCACAATTTTTGCAAAACAGTAAGAGGCAACCCGGGACATTTTAGGAATGACTCTTTTATCATTGCAATCCCTCAATTACAGTTTGACCACAAGAAGAAATTAATAGAGTAGTACTGTAGAGACTGTACATTTTTCAGTTTGCCCTCTGATGTGCTCTGACTTCTGTTGAACAGCGATACAGTGATTTCTTACGCTGTCTCCATTATTGCTCCCAAAATAATTCAGAGGTACATAAGGCTTTAAGTAACAGCAGTTTAAACACCAGTTTCAAATGAGATTCAATGGCTTCAATGACCTTTTCATCAAAACTGAGCTCCAGAACTCCATCTCCTTACGGCCTGAACTGACTTGCTCCCTTGGATATGTGCTGAAATGGTCACCTACCATGCCTGCTCTGTAGCAGGGCGACACAGAATGCACTACTCCTGCACTACAGGCTGCTACAGCTTTACACAAGGTAACTGTTACTAGCTCCTGATATTGGAAGGTTAAGGTGCTGCATGCAATTCCTCTAGTACAGTAAATCTGGCAACACAAGTGAAAAAACCTCATTACCTGCACCATAGACTTAGAAGTGAAGGAACAATTTCCCTTTAAAGCCACAGACTGGGTCAACTGCAGAGGTACAAAAGCTATACACCTAGAGTGTTAAAGGCAGAGTGCTGACAGTGTTGGCAGCAGTAGTGCTGCTGTCACAGGAGGTGCAAGGGATATACTAAAAAGTTCACTGTGAAACATGCAGACTATCGCAGAATGTCAAACTTCCCAGGAGTAACCAACTCAGATTACTATTTTTAAAACAAACGTGGTTTTTTTCATAAAGCAGTCAAGCTTTGAGGGTTTCATCTTCATGGATGGCAACTAACTCTTCTTCAACCCAAAGAGCTACAGGCAAAAAGACCCATACACATAGATTTTTCACTTTTAAAATCCAAAGATCCTTGCTGTTCCCAGGACAGAATATAACACCTAAAAGACCTGTCAATACAAACCTGCAAGCAATGAACATGGTTGAAGACACTGGAATCAAGAAAACAAGAATTAAAAGCTTTTAAATTATAGATTATAAAGCTCCTGAATGCTGGCTGAATGTATGCACATTCAAATGATCCAGAGAAGTGCATGGAAATATTTATTTACCATAAAATCTGGAAGCACAGCTGGGACTGAAATTACACTTCCAGTCTGGTTTGTCATCTCATTCAAGATTGAGATTACTTCATATAAACTGATTTATTTCTGTGTGTATAGTATAGTTTAACTTGAAAATCTTTTTCCTTGATGTTAACCATTAGTATTGAGTATTTGCTGCTGCTAAGTTCCTTAAGCGTGAATTTTAAGTACAGTGATCGGCTTGCATGTACCCATCAGGAATGATACTGGATAAATACATTTTCTATTCAACAAAATAAAGGTTAGCATAACTTAAAAAAAACCAAAACAAAAAACCAACAAACCCACCAAACAAACCTCTGAAGAGACACATCTCTTGAGTTAGTTTAGTAACACAGCAGAAAACCATAAACAATTTAGTAAGGTAGTTGATGTTTTTCACAGCATTGTGGAATTGAGCTTCAATATTCACCATTGCTAGAAAGTTCAATAATTCCTTGTTTTGATAACAAACTAAAAATTGTCCATAAAGTGGAAGGGTCTTCACAGTTATGACGACTCTGCCAATGATTACAAAGATCCTCTTTTCTTCCAAATAACTGTTTGCACAAAATGCAGTTATAGCCCGCTTTAGACCAAATTTCTATTTTTTTGCTTTGTGTACCAAAACCTACATTTTGCATCTCCTTGGCTGCTTCACCGCTTCCTGACTGAGTCAGTTCATTTTTAGATAACATATCGACATTATTTTGATGGTGAAAGTATATCTGTCTTTTCAGTTTTGGAAAAGTATAAAACTCCTCCTCACGGGCACTGCATTTTGCTAAATGTCTTCTCTCATTGCACTGTTTCCAGAAGTGGGTTGCATGTTTGATCAGTTCCCCCTTAGCTCCTCTATTTCCTTGCAAAACCCCTTCCTTTACTCTTCCCTGGATCTCTTCTCCATGAGAGCACAATAAGTGAAACTTCATTTCACCAAAAGACTGTGCAATAAACTGGCATCGACCACATTTGATCTGTAATTTGACTTCTCCTGGGTTATGGAATAGGTCCTCAAAATTGCACTTATTTCCCCTGTTAAAAAAAAGGAAATAGACTATTTCAGTATTAGCCATGCACAGAACAGAGATGGCAGTTTCTGTCCTTGTAAGTTCCAAGAAGAGATAACATTCATGAAACATTCTTTTAATTAAAAACAGGCACTGTTGCTACAGTATCTAATTTATTTGAAACAGAAAAAAAAAAGAGAAATAAAATAATAATAAGGCTGCTTAGCAAACAACTGAAACCAAATGTTGTTCAACACTGCTGAGTTTAAGAATTGCCTCCAAAATTAGCCTTGGTAGAAATAATATTTTAACAACACTAACCTTTCAATAAAAGGCTAATAACATTTTTTTAAGTTCCTGATTTAGTGAGGGCAATCCAAATACTTCTAGCTCTGTACTAGTAAAGTGAAAATGAACATTACCTGTAACATACTACTAAGAGAAAATAACTTGTTTACACTGAGTGATCTAAGGTCAGTTTAAGGCAAAACCACATGTCCCACCTCCCACTCCAAGATGGAAACAATGAAACTTCAAAGTTTCTTCCCACCCCAGCCCCAAAGTTTGTAATACACAGTTTTTAAAAGTTTAAAAACCTAATTTACAATTCAACAGCCCCTCTCATTGATGTAGGACAGCTCTGCAGTGTAAAGAAAACCGATACACACAGAGGTACCAAGTCCCTGGTTTAAGTTAAGCCAATCAAAAGAAAACCTCCACAGAAACCTTCTCACAAAGTCTACGAAAAGGACCACATAATACTGTGTATCTATACACATTAGACAGATTACCCAACAAAACAGATAAACGGAATGATTCATTGTAAAATGGCTAATGAGGCTGGAAGAAAAGCGCTGCTGTTTCTTAGGTTCAATACCTTAAAAATTTCTGATGCCCCAGAGAATGGAGCTATGCAAAGCAAAAGGTGTAAAATTGAACTGTAGTGTCATAGTGAAGCATCAGGTTAAAGCCCTGAGCTCAATAAAGCATACTTCCGTGAAAGTAAATGAACAGTGGAACAAACAAAAAAAGCCAACATTTATACTGTGTCAAGAAATTTCACCTTAAAATCATAATGCAAAGTTAAAACAATGTTCTATCCATCTTAATATGGTAAATGTTAACTTTTCTACTTGGCTAAGTGATCGCAAAAGCAGCGGTAATCAACACACAAGATGAACTAGCTCACAGCACTCCAGAGAAGGAAATGGGATAATGATATTTAATAGGGTAAATAAAGTATGAGCTAATACTGAAATATGAATTGCTTTTCACTTATTGCAGTTGGTTCACTTATCTTCTGGGGAAAACCCCCAAATGGGTAGGACACAGAAGACAGCACGGATTAACAGAAAAAGCGTTAGCTGTGAGAAATGAACTGACCAAAATAGCTCCACTGGCAGTATAATGGGTATTAGTAGAATGTATGCAAAATTACCTTGGATATTCAAGTGTCAGTAATAATTTATATTCAATAAATCAGCTAAAATATGCTGGATGGTCTAATAATGGATTGACTAGATTCCTTAACAAAATATTTAAACCATTAGGAATCTCACTTGGAGGGGGAGAAGCAACAATTCCCGTAACGGTGATGTTTACGAATTTCCCCCAACAACCTGAAATCCCATTTTCATTAGCATTTAATCAGTGAAAACACTCACCTCTCTGTTACTTCTTCTGCCTCTTTTATATTTGTGTCTCTCTTCTTTAAAGCATCTTGCAGCTGTTGCTCGCTACTAGAGGGTTCTGTGCTGATAACAACCCTGTGCACTTCTCTGAGGTGGCCAAAATACACTTTTGCATGGCCAAAAACTTTAGCACAGAATTCACAGCACACAAGCTTTTTGGGTTTGCCTTCGTTGTGGTGAAGTTTCATATGCGTGCTCAGGCTTCCAGAATGAATATATGCTTTCCGGCAAATTCGACAACTGTAAGGCCGTTTGTTTGTATGTGTGTTCATGTGGTCCTGAAGATGATGTTTAAACTGGAAGATATGGTTACAAACATGACATTTATGTGATGGCTTAGGTACAGCTGAAGATGCACTTCTACTTAAATCACTTGATTTAACTGATGTAGCATCACTCTGCTTGTAACTTAAATATTTATTGGGAAGTGAACTATTTAAAACAATATCTTGGTCTAATTGCTCAGGAGAGGGTGTCTCTACTATTGCTGCAGCAGTCAGTGGTGCAAAAGCCTGCACAACTACCACTGGCTTTGGCCTAATACTACGGTATTTTTTCACTGCCTCTGCTTTTTTGTCTTCAGGTGGCTGAAGATCAACTTTCGCCCTCTCTCTTCCTTCCCTAAACTTATTAATGATGCATTTCCTTCGCTTGGTCTGAAAAGCCAATAAATCATCTGGGGCTCTTCTCTTCCTGCCTCTTCTTTTAGAGGCTGCACTGTTCAATTTTTTAAGACTGTCGACATCCACTTTATTGGATGGAGAGAAAGTACTTTCTCGAACGGTTTGTTTGGGGACTTGTATAAATGATACAGCTAATCGCTTATCAGATGCTTTAGTAGGAACATGAAAGGTTTTCGCCAAAGATGGTATTTTTTCACACTCAGATCTTAGTGAAGGACCAGATACATCTGTAACATTAGTATTCTGCTTAAATTTACAGAACACTGAATTTTTCATCCTTGAGTAAGGCAAAATAGGAAGTTTTCCTTTTGGTGCCAATGGAGTCATCTGTACTGTACTGCCAAAAACTGCTGGTGACAGGACAGCAACAGAATTTGCAGAATTCGTGGGTTTTTCCTTCAGTTTCTCAGACGTTATGAATGACTCTCTTGTGGTTTCAGATGCTGTCTTCACAGAGCGTAGACTTAGTTTCATGGGATTAATTGTACTTGCCCGCTTGGATAAAGAGTCTTTAACTACAGATGGTCCAGAAACATTACTGTTAGCAATTTCAGTTTTGTTCACTAAAGGACATCCAGATTCCACACAATTGCTTTTATTTACTAATGCAGCAACCGTCATTTCAGCTGAGTCACGGTCTGTTAGCATCACTTGCTCAGTTGAATCTGAACTAGAATGAGTTTCAGGACAGTCTTCAGTTAAAGTAGTCACGGGGGAAGTCTGTGATGAGATCAATGCTTTGGTAGGAATCTTGTTATGTGCACCCGAAACAGAGATTTGTGCCAGTTTTTTGTCACTCAGGAATTTATTTCTTACAGATTGGTACCTAGGGATAGGCAGCTTTAGGTTTTCAGAAGGGGCCACACTTGACTGCTGGACTTGCTGCGTTAGGGCAGGGGCAACATATGGCAAGGCCAACAGAGAAAAAGTCCCCTCATGACCAGCCACCTGCATGACAGCATAGTTTTGAGTTGGTACCACCAGCGGTTTGGAACCTGCAGCTGAAATTGGCGTATTTTGCTCAGGTAAAGATGACTGAAGACAAGAAACCACTCCAGATGTTAACATTTTTGGTACCACTTTTGGAGCAATGGTCCTAAGCTGACTTTTCTTCTGAAAACTTCGTATTATATCTGAAGGGGATTTGTGTTTATCTGTAAAAATAACAAAACAAAGATGTAATACAATATATAGTATTTCTTTCTAACAAATTACTGTATTAAAAATAAAAATCCTTACAAAGGATACCATTATACGCAAACTTATTAAAAATATTTAGGTATTTAAATGACCACTAAATTAAGTTTAGAGTTGCAAAAGTTTCATGGACAAAAGAAAAATAGTCCCTGAAGCAACGTGCTTGAATATAGATATGCAATGCCCCACCTCTCACCCTCCCTTAAGCTAATCTTAAATGAATGTTTCATTCTAGGTTAGAAACTACATGGCATTTCAGAGCAAACACACTTATAAGCCTCTTCTGCCCTGCAAAAGCTGCACTAGCATGCTGGCAATATTCAGCTGGAAGAACTAACAAGGACATGATTTAAACTCCATGATGCAGAACTCTTCTGAGCACCTGCTCTGATCATATCTCTCAATCAGAGTCATGCTGTCTTTCAGAGTTTCTGTAACATTTAGAATTTGTGGGTTTTATGAGATACAGACCAAAGCTTACCAGTTGAAGTCTTAAAAAAATTACTGCTATAAAACATGCCAATAATGCGCAATAAAATCAAAGGGACTTGACAGAAGATGTACCATTGTTAAATACCCAATCACACGTATTACTTATGTGCCTTTAATCCACAATAGAACTACTGTAGTAAGTTATTCAAATATTTTCTTGAAAGATGCAATTTATGAAGGCTATATCACAGTTCCTACCTGTTTCTACTTGTGTTGGTAAATGTCACAAACATTTTTAGTAAAGAAGAATGTGAGGATAATTAATTAAAAAAAAAAAAATAAAAGGAAAAGGGTAAAATGTGTAAAATATAATCTGCATTGAGCAGCAGAGATATACGCTGACCTTTCAGACACTCCATAAAAAGGGATTTGATGTATAGTTAATTGTACCACTACCATTTCATATAACAGCCTCATTACCCACTCCCAAATCAACTACCGATACTCCCAATTCTCAAAAACTGGGATAGGTTTCCTGAAAAAGAATTAAAAATTCCCAGCAATCTCAACCACTGAAAATTCAACTACAAAGATCCCAAGCAGAAAGGCAATTTGGGAAGGCAAAAATGTAAGAAAAATTTGAGAGGGGAATCACATCTGAATAGAATATGTAAGAGTAAATGCTGGGACCTTGAACTATTGCAGTAAGGTAATTCCATAGGGATGTTTCCATTCCTTACCATTTTAAAGCCTTGTATTACAAATACATTTATACATTGTTATGGACTTAAAGAGGTAACTGTGAATCACTACCAACACTGGAAACTCCAGTAAGTTTATCTTAACCCTGGGTGTTCTTTTCAGATATCACACACTTTGTAACATGCACTGTAAGTTACAGAGCTATCATATTTCATGACCAGAACTCCTGGACAGATATACGTGCATGCTCATGGTATGCACATGTGCAGTAAATCCACTGCCTTCAGGACATGCTAGATTCACTGAGCAATCACGTATAAACTGTACGGTTCATACATAGTAGGTCTGATGCTTCTCAAAACTCTTTGACCTACAGCAGGTTCATGGAGTAATAACTATGCAGGGCATAAGCCTTTGATCCTTTTATTGCCATCTACAGCATCAAACCCCAAGTCTACTATGCACCTTCTTGATCCTCCAATTAAGTGAAACTACTGGGCACTACCATAACTTTCTTTCTGCTCAATGTCTGCAGAGATGTCCAGAATTTCTAGATATTCTGTGCAGACTGGATGACTGTAGATATGGAAATCCTGCACAAATATAGAGATCCCTTTACACAAGGTTAAGTCAAGGCCTACAGAGTTTGTGCAACCTGGAAAAAGCAGAAACACCGTTAAGTTTAAAATTCTGTTTCCCTACAGCCTTTTTTATTCTCCAAAAGCTAGAAGCATGTACTATTTCTCACTAAGAACTTCCATTTTCGCCAATCTACAATCACTAAACATATAGAAACCTTTACCTTTTCAACTGTTAAGATCACTAATAATACTCGGATTATTTTTTGTTTCCTGCAGGGTTATCTTTTGGTTGCTGGTTTTGAGGAAACACTTTTAAGAGCTTCTGAGAAGTACAATAAAATGATGTAAAGTATTGTAATCATTAACCAAACTAGCCCTGAACTTCAATGCTAGTTACAGGTCAAACTGTACAGCTTAAATACAGTAGATGACAGAACAAGTGTATTTTTCCTTTAGGGGACAGAGTCTGCTCTTATTTTTCCAGCTTATGCTTGCCATATACTGATGTTAAAGTTCCAAATCAGCAGTTATTCAGCTTGCCACAATCTTCAACACAAAGCAGTTTCCATTTTCTCTCACGTTTGGCTTGTACCTCTCTCTATTTCAAAATCTCATTCATTGATTTGCATAAACCTTTTAGGAAAGCCAGCACTTCAGCAGACTGCTACCTGTGCTAATCTACACCCCAAGTTGTAAGGCACCCACTCTCCAACCAATGGTAGCAAATGATGCGAGTTCAGGAAAAGACAGAAGTTTTGCTATGGACATGCCACCTCTACAAGAGTGCAGAAATGGCAGCCAAAGCACCACAAAAGAAAGGTTAATTTGAGTTTAGGAGGAAATATTTGTAGAAATAATGCATGACACTAGCTTTAAAAATAAGCATATGCTTCTCAAATACACTGACCTGCCTATTGCAAAATTAGGCAGTAATCCCACTTTTCGTTAAGAGAAAGTCTCTCCACATATTTTCTCAGCACTCCACCAGAAAGTATCATTCTAGAAGCCACGACCTTCATGAATATTAACCACACAGTGCTCTTTGAAACAAGGTCCATTTAGATCAGTATTATTCTTACACAGTTAACACAATTCTAAGCATTGATATAACTGTTTGAGAAGGGATTTTTATACAAATGCTTTTTTTCCAACTAGCGTAATTTTATCATAAATACATCTTCCAGGCAAGTTATGTTTGGTATCAGGCTTCAGTACAACTTTTTTTTTTTCCCCAAGTTTACATTAGGCAGTTTAGTGCAGAAATATTAATTGCAGTGCCTCTGGTAAGCAAAGGATACTCAACTCTGTATTTCCCTCCATCCAAAATAATTGCTGTAGTTAAGCAGCTTAGCCAGTGTCTAAATATAGAGATGGGCTAGATGCAGACTAGCTGTCTGATGGTCCTTCAGACTCGGTCAAGATTTTGCTTGTGGACTGGGAAAGCTAATTGGAAGAACTGGTGGAAGACTATTTAGCATCTTGGTTCAGGAAAAAACAACCAGTCAATTCAAAGACCGGAGGTCCTACTGACCCCACCTAGAGTATGCAAGTATCACCAGTGACCAAAACTATTTTTCCCATTTATACTTGGCAAGAAGTTTCAACAATTGCCTTTGCACACAGAGATCGCTACAGTAATTCATGTCTTTACTACTCTGACACTGAAGGACTTGAATACACTCTGGCTGTCTGGCTACCAGAAGGCTACTGGGAAACTTAATATGCATCTTTCAGGGACATTGCACTTCTATTCCAAGCCTTCTTCCAAATTATTTCTGTCTCCAATTCAAAGCACTCTTTTTGACTCGTCAGTTGTGACCTGAGGAAAAGCCTTCAGGCCTATGCAAACCCATGAAGTCTTGCATCTAAGAAGGGGAATTTTCACTTAAGGGAGGCTCTGCAATGGCATTTTTGAGGACGGTCCTTGGTTTTAGACAACAGTATTTCTACAAGTCAGTCTACAGGTCCTCCACTGTAAGGCAACAATTTTTATACTTTCTCTAAAATTTTCATTAAGAATAAAAGAAATGAATGAAAACATTAGATTTAATATCTGAATGACATGAAGCTCATTTTTAACTGCTGTGTTCTCAGCCTTTCAAACAGGCATGGAGCTGGGGCAACAGGCAGACACTTTTAAATAATTAAGCACAAGGTTAAATCAAATGCAATTCAATCCATTTACTTTAAAAGTCTCTATTAAAAGATTAATGGTTACCATGCTAGTACCTGCAAGTATCAAATCACTCAAACTTGCAGGATGTCATAAGCTTTCACCCCTCTAAATAACTTTAAAATTGTATAGGACTGGACAGTGATACACCAACTAAAAAAAATCAATGATGCATCAAAGTCTCTGACATGGCCATCGTGGGAAGAGTCCTCTGGAGGAAAGAAAGCCTTCCATGGGGCTGCTGTTCATTCATGGTTCCCCTTCCCTCCTACATCGTTCAAGTCTGGTCTACTCCAGTCTGTTCTGCCTTCTTTTTGTACCTCCTTCAGTTTGCTCTCTATGTAAAGCATGTAACATTGCTGAACTCAGACACTGTAAAAAGCATCAGAACAAATTTAATTTTCCCCACTAATCTGATCTATCTTGAACATTAAAATAAAACACCAAAATGCCAGAAACCACTGTGTAATAGCATTAATTTTTAAAATAATCCTTGTAGAACCACCTCATATGTAGATATGTATTTAATTTGTGTATGACTGGACAAGTGACAGAAAATAACACAAAAAGATCATCTTGTTTTCAAGGGAAAGGCAGAATACAGATGAAAAAGATTAATTAATTACTTTATTAAATGCATGTTTACATTGCTGAGTCTTTCGCTGACTTCGAAAAGAAGAATATCTGTTCTATGGGAAATAAAAAAATGCACAACTTTCTAACAGACAATACTAGATTTATTTCTGTCAGTAATAGTTAATCATTCGTTTTGCCAAATCTCCATACAAGCTATGTACCTGTGGATACTGTCTTTCCAGCACAAGTTTCTTGGTTTTGCTGACCCAGCATACTTTGTTGGACACAATGTTTCTCTGCAGGATTAGCATGCAAAAAAACACCACCTGCAAAAGTGCTTCAGTCAGTTATAAATAGATCCCAGGACAAAACAACCCCAAACGACCCCCAAAACCAACAAAACCCAGAAAAAGACAACATAAAACGACAATATAAAACATTAACTTCCAGTTAATGCATTAAGAAAGCTACTGCTTCTTGCTCTTTGCCATTTTTCTCTCCTCAAAAAATGTTTTAAAATCTAATATATTACACACCAAATACAAGGTGATAGCTTAATAATTGAGTAAAGCTGATGTGGTAAACAGATGGGATGCTTTAGCTTCAGTGTCATGGCAGACAGTCAACAGCACCAAAACAAAAAACTCAAAAAATGAAGGTTTAGTAGCTTTAGTGATTCTTTTAAATACAGGGGCTAAATTCTACGCTGATTTACACTTTCTGTAATCCCACGTAAATCAATGGTACTGCAGATATTCTAGAAAATAGAATTTGGCCTTCTATGTTCAAAACTAGTTTTGCCACACAGCTATACAAAGTAAGGTTGGTAATAAAGCCTACAAATCAGAACTGCCCAACTCTTTACATTATAACAATTAATTTGCAGTTGTTACTATCTTTACCCAATAAAAACTGTTTGGGTGGAATGTTCTGTTCTCGATATTTGCCTCGGATAATTTTCTAAAATTAATTTCAAGAGAAAATGCCAGCCATCCCAAGGTGTGACTGCATTAAAAAAAAAAAAAAAAAAAGACGAAGAATCTAGTAACACATCTGTGCATTAGATGAAGACCTTTGTATTTGACACAGCAATGGCTCTTGTCTGTGAAAAGCTGCCCAAATTTGGCAAAGTTGAAAGCTCTTGGCATGTGTTCAACAGATACTTTAAGGAGCTAATTTTTCCAGTGATTACATTCTATTGAATGCACTCCTGCTTCAGACTGGGCTGGATTTTTCTTAAAACTATAGCTTTAGGTCCAAACACCCAAGTTGGAACAAGGAAATGGCCTCTCCTTCTCTCTTAACTGCTGAGCTGACAGTGTGGAAGAGAAACTAGGATATATACAGGGCAAGCACGAAGAGGACAAGAGAACTAGAAATGAGACTTGGAAAGTGTCTAGGCCAAAGAGTCAAGGTGGGATATGGGAATTAAACGCAGGCTTAAGATGGGTGACGAACATTACTATTACATGTGATTTGGAAATGAGAAGCATTTAAGCCACAGGGACAACCTCGTATCTTGCATTTCTTACCTTTTTAGCACTTGATTTTTGTAAAGAGTAATATAATTCTATCTACGTAGTAGTCCTTTTATGCCATTTAAAATAAATTAGAAAAATAAAGAATATAAAGATGTATTCTAATGCAAGATTGGAAAATCACAGTACATCATTCACACAAACACGAAGATACAGAAAGGACAAATAAGCTTAGAAAACATGTGCTGGTGTACCACAGGAGGACCAAGACCAAAATAGTTCATTAAAATTCTAAAAGATAATATTAGACCTCTTTAAAGCTATATATAATTAATTCTGATTTGAGCATCAATGTGATTTGCTAGTTGTGCACTAAGCATTTTATCAGTTAGAAAGGTCTTTGCTTTATCATCTCTGCAAGTTTATTATCTTAAGGGATTAGGATTATGGTGCATTTCAAAAAATTCTGTGAGCAGTGGAATGCTTCCTGGATTCCTTAAATAGCCTCCAAAAGACTCTTCTTAGCAGAAGAGAGCTTTACAACAACAAAGTTACACAATAAAAATGTTTTTTTGACATTAACTAGACTCCATTAGAACAGATGTTCAACCTTAAAATTTCTAGCGACACTTTTCAGTGTGGGAATAAGCTAAAACTATTTTTGGCATAAACAGTCATTTTGGAGAGATAACTTATATAGTAATCCAAGATCATGGGTACATAGTTCATATTTAGGGAAGTTCTTCAGTTTACTGTCTAATTCAGTCTTGTTTTTTTCCCAAAACTCCTTATTGCACTATCAACCCTATATTGATATATGCCAAAGTTTATACAGATTTGCTTTTCAGAGAATTACTATATAACATAGCTTATGCAAAAAAAAAAAAAAGGATGGAGGAAAAAAGTATTAATCTCTGCTGTTAGGTAGCTCCACTTTCTCAATTTCCAGAATTGCTTTCCTCTGTTGTTTGAAAGTATACATAGGAGTTGCTTCATTAAAATGCTATCATCTATCTGGACTTCTATAAGGCCTTTGACACAGTCCCTCACAACATCCTTCTCTCTAAATTGGTGAGATATAGATTTGATAGACGGACTATTCAGTGGATAAGGAATTGGCTGGGTGGCCACATCCAGAAAGTAGTGGTCAACAGCTCAATGTCCAGACAGAGGTCAGTGACAAGTGGTGTCCCTCAGGGGTCCATATTGGGACAAGCACTGTTTAACATCTTCAACAATGACATAGATAGTGGGATCAAGTGCACCCTCAGCAAGTTTGCAGACAACAGACACCAAGTTGAGTGGTGCGGTTGACATGCCTGAGTGACAAGATGCCATTCAGAGGGACCTGGACAAGCTCAAGAAGTGGGCCCATGTGAACCTCATGAGGTTCAACAAGGCCAAGTGTAAGGTCCTGAGAGCAGACCTGCAGAGAAGGACTTGGGGGTACTGGTGGATGAAAAGCTGGACATGAGCCGGCATGTGTGCTTGCAGCCCAGAAAGCCAACCGTATCCTGAGCTGCATCAAAAGAAGCGTGGCAAGCAGGTCCAAGGAGGTGATTCTGCCCCTCTGCTCTGCTCTGGTGAGACCCCACCTGCAGTACTGCGTTCAGCTCTGGAATCCTCAGTACGGGAAAGACATGGACCTTCTGGAGCAGATCCAGAGAAGGGCGCAAAAATGACCAGAGGGATGGAATGCCTCTCCTATGAGGAAAGGCTGAGAGAGTTGGAGTTGTTCAGCCTGAAGAAGAGAAGGCTCTGGGGAGACCTTGTAGTGGCCTTCCAGTACCTAAAGGGGCCTTATAAGAAAGGTGGGGACAGACTTCTTAACACTGCCTGTAGTGATAGGACAAGGGGTAATGGTTTAAACTAAAAGAAGGTAGATTCAGACTCGATATAAGGAAGAAATTTTTTACAGTGAGGGTGGTGAAACACTGGCACAGGTTGCCCAGAGAGGTGGTAGATGCCCCATCCCTGGGAACATTCAAGGCCAGGTTGGACGGGGCTCTGAGCAACCTGATCTAGTTGAAGATGTTCCTGCTCATTGCAGGAGCATTGGACTAGATGATCTTTAATAGTCTCTCCCAACCCAAACCATTCTATAACTCTATTTAAGGTTTCTTTCTGCAATTAAGGCTTCTTTCTGCGAATAGAATCTCGCCAGCATCTTGGCTCCAGTATCTCTGTCCTCAGAGAAAAGTGTAACATAAACCGATACCCATGCAAAAGCAGATATGTTAAACAGAAGTTAACACATCAAGAAATCAATGCATCTCAATACTATATTATCAGCGTTAGCAACAATAATAATCTAAGACATCATTTTGGATTTCTCATATATTTCGATTTCACGTATCTCTCTATTTTCCGAACACAAGTAACTTTTCAAATATGTATGAAATCCTATTTCTAAAGGGAACAACAAGTGGCCAACAGCTTTGAGGTAAACTTTTTGAGTTGTAATATCAAATGTATTAGCCACATGTGGGTAAATCAGTATTTAAAAGCAACATCTTATATATAAGTGGGCTTAACACAACCTCCTACAAAAAAAGCCATTTCTGTGCTACTGTATAAAGGAAGAAAGTCTTGGAAGTTCTTCCTAAAAGTCAGAATATGTATACATATGAGATTTTGAAACACTCTTTTGCAATGAACTTAAAATACATTTATTAGCAGATCCACATATTCTCTTAACACCTCTCATGCAGTGTTTGTGAACTTTAAAAGCTTTCCATTTTTTTGAAGGCACAGTCTTTCAAGTTATAAGCTACTCATTTCATATTAAGGTTAACGTAATTAATAGGTTTTAAGCAGATCAAAATATTTTCATATTAAGAAGTGAAAACTGACATAAAGAGAGCTAGACATAAAGCATCTGTAATTATTAATAACTTTTTCCACCTTTGCAGCTGAAGAAATCACACACAGATTTTTCTCACTATGGCAGTAAGAGAACTTAGGAATAAGGTTTGTGCAGATAAATCTGTGGGCTCAAGGTGGTGCCTGGCCTCTGCAACCACACAAGTCGCTACTAAAGATCAAAACACTGGTACTTTTCTGTTTAAGCATGGAACTTCTCTCTGAGAGAGAGACTGTTAGATATATCAAAGACTGTGTTTCAACTTCTAAATGCCTCTACTAGCTTCAGCAACCAACCATGTCAAACTTCAATTGGGCGTTATCTAGAAACCATGCTGCTCCAAGAGGACTCAATTGAGTCAAATGGAAATTATTTTGGTATCACTACAAATCCAGTGGTTTATCTTTGTCAGTTTTGCCCAGTCATTCTGCTCCATAGAGGGTACCATCCCTGGAGATTTGTGAAGTAAGGCTTCAGTAACGCAGCCACTTGGGGGAACTAATTGTTCAGAAAATAGCTGAAGGAGGTGATGAAAGCACTGGTCATAAACTCATAATTCATAAACCTTCAGCGGCATTGCAAATATAAATTAGGTACTTTAGAAAGTGGGGATAAACAGAAGATTCAAAAGAAAAGATTGTAATTGGATTTTTAAAAATTATTTTCTGGGAGAACTGCCAGTCGAAATTCCTTTCAGCGAGCTTCAAGAAAGATACAGACCTAAACAGTAATTCATTCACTGTAAAGTCAATGTCAATGTAAAGTCCTTCTTAAAAGGTCTATCAAGATCACATCAACCTGGACAAAATCTTGATATGCCTAATGTAAGTGGTAATTAATAGACTTATTTTTTCCTTAAGTGCAGGAAACAATAATGACCAGGTCTGCTATAAAAATGAAGGCAGAATTCTTCAGAAACTATGCAGCACAAAAGGGTCAAGTACAACCATCCTACAAATAAAGCATAAAATATTTTATGACTAGACTCTTGCTCCCCTTTCAAACAAGCAGAGAACAGAATCTATCTTCCATCTTACTGAGAGTTCAACCCTCCTCCCTTCCGTGCATGGGACAGAGAACACGTACGTCTGATTGCAGTAAGGGAATTATGCCTCTTACTCCCAAAATTTATTTTTTGCAAATACTGATGTGCAAATAGAGAGCACAACAGAAGAGCAAGATTGTTATTCCTTTCATAGACTATCACTTTTTTGTGAAAATCAGAACACTTCTTTCTGAAGAGAGCCTCTATGCAAGAGAAAACAAACAATTAATTCACCACTTTGACTCCATAGAGCAAATACATTTTACTTGAAGCATTAAAAGCACCTGTATGGTGACTTCTGTCTTACAAACCTTGGAAAGTGCTCCCTCGTTAAAGATGAGCAGAGGCTCAGAAGACTGTCAGTCTTGACCTGGCCTATTTTGAGTCTTCCCCAAAGAAAGGGGAAATCATTCCCCAAAGAAAGGGCCAGAATATAGAACACATTGTTAAACTTAGATGATAGCTGGAAAGTATTTTCTAAGGGATTTTCTAAATAGCTCATTTCTTTTGAAAATTGCCTAAGTGATCTAACTTTTGAATGGGGAATCTCTGTCCAGGTTTTTTGTTTGCTCTAGCTGTCCCCCCTTTTCTTTCATCATGACCCAAATTTCTTCAGAAAAGGACTCTAAAGCTCTGGCTGACATACGCAAAACACTGCAACCTGTAGCCAATTCCACTAAGGATTAAAAAAAAATAAAGATTAGAGGATCTCCACAGTACTTCATATAGATATGTATATTTTTTCAAAGACAGACACAGCCCTGTAGAGCATAAGAAAACTAAAACATCTTCGGAAAGACTATGGTCCTGGCTAGGAAGACATTAGTTTTCAGAACATATAAAATTATCACTTGTTGCTGAACCTGGACATAACTAGGCCTTTCTGGCAGTAGGATGTAGCAGAAAACATTTTTAATTATAGTATCTGGATGTTTTTCCTCCCCCTGTGCACGATTACAATTATTTGCAACGCTTATTGGCATTGCTAAGCCTGCCCACGCTAGCCACTGTATTGTTTAAAGGCAGCACCGGTTCTCAAAAGAAGGTACTGGATGTGCTGTAAAGGAATTGATTGAACGCACTGCTGATAAGTGACAATATACCAGCAAACCCTTGTAATAGGTGCCAAGATGCGAGGGAATTAAACCGGAACGCAGTCAACAGGAACGCAGGCCAAGGATGATATCCTTAACTTGCCATGTGCCGAAACGCCAGCTCTCTTCTAATTAAATTCACGTGTAGCGGGCGTGCGCCGGCAGACAAAGGAGCCCCTTGGCGCAGAGTCCAGCAGGGGGAGTCGGGCGCCCGTCACCGCTGCCTCCGGCCACCGCCCGAGCCGGGCGAGCCCTTTCCGTTCCTTCTCTGAAGGGCCAGCTCGGCTTAGGTCTGCCACTCACGCCGACTACCCTACAGCAATCTGCGAACAACAGAAAGGCTGAACTACTTGCCCGAGAATTCTGTAACGCTAAATATGGCTTCTATTACAAAATCCCCAAGGTCATGAAATCTTTTACAGCACTGCACGCAACCTCTGAACAACTTCATGACGAGTTATTAATTCAAAATACGCTACCTTTGCAAACTTTTCAGTCAATTCAATGGCTTGGATAAACTTGAGAACATCTTAAGCAAAGCAGTTGAGCCTTCCTGTTAACAGCAATTACTTCTATTAAACTGTTTAGGATCTTCTATAACTGCAGTACAATTTTTGTGCAAAGAGGTGTTTTTTTTAATTATTAAAGTCCTTTACTGATTTTGTGTTAATCTAGTTAACGTCCCAAATAACACGTCCATGTTACTAAAACCATCGGTATTTATGACAGATGTTCTTCTTTTGGTCAACATCTGAAAACGAAGCCCTCTTACCAACATATTTTCCCATGCCAAGCAATACCCTGAAATCTTTGTCAAACTTCCTTGCTTTCATCATTGCTTAGCTCATCACACAAGCCATCTGCATAAATAAAGATGTAAGCATCTGCTCTATGGCAAATGGTCTCAGGGGCAGATGTTTTTATCCTTGCATTCATGTCACTGGCTTGGATACATTATTTGAACAGATGTACACAATCTGAGAGTGTCGTGTCCCACAGTGAAATGTCTCCAACTGCTTTCTATCAAAGTACATAAATGCTATTTGCACCTGCATTTATGTTAATGATATAAAGGCAGCAGGGGTTCCAGCAAAGTGAGAGTAGATGCTAAGGAACACATTTACATGGCTAATTGAAGTTTGAACTCTCCCAGCACCAAATGACCATACCAACATGGATGCAAAATGCACTAAACTATACAATGATTTTTTAAAAAGCTATATGTTTTTTTTTTAAATTAAAATAAACATACTCAAGGATCAAAACTATGATTTCAGCCTGTGATATACTTTTCCAATGTATATTTAAAAAAGACAAAAATGTATTAAATAGATTCCTAGATAAACCAGGACAGCCTTATATTTTGCACAATAATTGGACAAGATACACAATTATTTCATGTTAGAGTCATCTAACAAAAAAGATTTATAAATCTGACAAAGCCAAAGGTATTTCAGTTCTCTAAGGCACACTGGTATTTTATGTCACTATGAAGCACTATAAAAAAAACCTAGCACTTGCTCAACATGAGTGTGAATGACAGAATATGATGCTTCGATGATAATTTCACAATTCCTAGGAAAAAACTAAAATCTTAGAAGTTAAATATTTATCATTACTCAGAAAAGTGCATCTGTTTGAACACAGAGTTACAACTGCTTGTTATATAATCACCTTTCTTATAAAATATTTTAAATTGAGAAAAATACCGATGCCCTGTAGTAGTATGTATCAAATTACAGAACTCCTGCTATCACATGACAAATGGTGGCAGAGAAGGGTTTATGCTGTCACTCAAACAACTTGCACTAACCATTACTTCCATACTCAACTGAAAAATAACAAGCACTTTCAAAGTATAGAAAGACTGACAAAAATGCTATACTGAATGTAACTGATGGATAGCTTCTACTTCCAATATCATTTATTTTCAAACGTTTTATTTGTAAGAAATATACCAATGTTATAGTTGTACATAAATCATTACAAATTGCTAATAGCCTCAACATTTTCGAAGTGCCATAACACATTTAACAAACAAAAGTGATGCTTGATACAAGGACAAAAATGAGTGATAGTAAAAAGAATATTAAAAAAAAATATACAAAGACTAGTATATTTGTAAAATATCAAGATTTCACACTGATATAGCTCTTGGTTAGGATCTGGTTATGATTTCTAACATGAACCCTTACTTCAAAAGTTTACAACATGGCTCTTATAATTTACTCTGGGTGCAAGCTGATAACAGGATACTGACTGGAATAGATTTCTGTTCAGAAAAGAAAAAAAAAAGGCTTCAAAAAATCTCAAAGCAAATGATTCATCAGTTTCAAGTTTGCAAACAGCTTCACAGTCTATATTCTCCTCCTGTTATTCAGAAATGGCTTTAACACAAAGATAACACATTCATTTTGACTACAACAGTGGTCAAATTCCTGTTATTTAAAGGAAAAATTAAATTAAGGTTTTTTAAGTATTAGAATTAAGTATCTCAGTCATAAGCATACGGACGTAAAGCACACTGCAGGGTGGATAACTTTACACAACAGTAAGTACTGTCTTCCTTGAAAGAATAGTCCCATTAGACTCAGAACTCATCAACTAAGATCAATTTGCATGACATCCTTCTGGAATAGCTTCCTCAGAATTATTACAGTATCATAAAAATACTCAGACTTCACAAAACAGGTAAAGTATAAACTTACATGACAGTAAAAGCTCAAGGCTTCAAGTTAAGTAATATATAGTGCTTTTCTTAATTAACATAAGTACTAACAATGGAAACTTAACTGACAACCTGCAATGGTTCTGAAAGGTCCATTAGAGCTTATGTCATATTCATCAAACATTCACTCAGATTTAAGAAGTATCATTAAAAATGACATTCAAGTTAAAAATCGTATTTAAACATTAGCATTGTGACACAGATGAAAAGGGAAAGGAAATAAAAGTTACGGCTGCACATTTAAAGGCTTGGGAATACACAGTTGCAGCACAAATACCCTTACTAATAATGGAGGGAAAAATTCAAGATGCTAACCCTACTGAAAACTAAATCAACAGAAGATGACTTCTAAAAAGACAAAACATAGAAGAAATATAGTTAAATACAAAAAATGTTAGTAAGGATAGGCATGCTAGAGAAAAGGCATTTGAAATCTAAGTTTATATTTAGAAAATACTTATGTTCTTGTTTGTGCTACTCTTGTAGCGTAACTTGCAAACAGATTTAATCCCCAATTATATGGGGGTTCAATATGACAATGATTTTCAATTATATGAGGATAAAAAATTATAATAAACCCTGAACACTTAATTCTGCTGAAGCAAACAAGAAGCAGATTTATATATTTCAAGTTTCAACTATAGGTGTTAACAGTAATTCGCAATGTCCTACAGAAGAAAATAATCTTAGCTGTTGCAATTGTTTAAAGTGATAAATGCTGCAGTATAATGGCTTTTTTTTTTCTTAACCATATTAGGGTAGAATAGTAGACATGAGTTATACAGTGATTTATTAATGATGATGATATTTCTTACACATTTTGAATCACAAGCATCCAATTTCTCAAAAAAAGTACAGGAATTATACTATACCTGCAGAAAAAGTTAACGGATTCTGCATTATGCCCTTTAATAGTTACGACAACGTTCCTGGAAAGAAGAAATACAGATACTTAGAAATTCTGCTAATTTTTCATAAACCACAACAAAAAAAATAGGACAACAGCCATAGTTTTCTGAAATTGTATCTCAGAATGGATCCCAGTATGCCCATACCTCATGCAAAACACCACCAAAGTTTTAAACCAAGTGTTTCTCTGGATCACACATACCCTTATATGCACTCTCCATATTTCAACACTGGGTACAACTAACTTAGGCTTCTTGTAATTGAAAACCACCACTAAAGCCAGAAAAGAGGACATGTAATGAATTCCAATGTCAAAATGTATTCTGAAGAATCACAATGTAGGGTTAAGCAATCATTTTCCTTCAAACATCTGACTGCATGGATCCCATAAAACTGACTGACAAGCAGGATCTTCCATGGATGCTACAATATTAACTTGCATTTGTGAAGCATACACTATACTGCCACCTCTCCCGAATCTGACGTTGGTACTTATCGCAAAATTTGATGCATAATGTTTGACATAAAATAGCATTACATCAAGTGGCCACCCAGTAACTTAAGAGTTGGCTATTTCTTTCCAGTGCAGTCAGTGTGTTACTTAAGCTTTGGTCAAGTGTGATTCAACAGTCAAGTAAGAAAGACACAGTACAATATAATGACAATTCAAAACTACATTATTATCCACTTAGATTTTCTTTATCATAAAATCATCTAGCTTTTGGAATGGCTGCATAATAGTTTGGTTTGGCTGAACACCACTAACATGTTAAAAGTCACACAGGGTATAAAACTCTTGTTCTCCTGATGCAGTTGAAAGCTTTGGGAAGGTAACATACAAGTCCATTAACCAACACAGGTGGAACTCCAACTCCTTGGGGGTTTACTTGGATCTAGGCTTTCATCCCAGTGCGTATCTATAACATTTCCCATGAGCAGAGCCAGCTGTGCCAATGTGGAGTTTGCTTAATTTCCTGGCCAATTTAAGAGCCGGTAGAATCTTACATAAAGAACATTCCAGACAGGAGCTCAAAAGCCCCCTTCTAAGCAGAAGAAGTACCAGAAGATTGGTTTGGGATAATAAAAACATAGTTAGGACAAATTCTGATGCAATTACCAAACACAAAAATAAGTCTTGAATATGTTTCTTTACTATCATGCAATTGACTCTCAAAAAGCAATGGAGACATTCCAGGAAAAAGATGGTTCTGTAGGCAGCAGTAAAGTATAAAAGAGACAAAATCAATTCAATTTCCAGGAAGTTCAATACCAAAGCATAAAAGAAAATTGAGTGTGGCTGCTGTGAGAAGACCTCTCACACAGCAAACAGGTGAGGCTCTTTGGTACCTGTATCTTCTGTGCTGAGCCATATGTAATAAGAAGCTCTTGTATGTCAACCAGCACCTCCTGGCACAGGTTTGCAGATGCATATCAGCAGATCGCAGGCTGCCTCAAAGAGCCTCTGTCCGTGGTACTTAAGCAGTCAACCTCTGATCTCTCAGAACCAGTATACAAACAGATGTCGGCTCATCTACTTGTAGTTTCACGTCGTGGTAACATATAGACAACTCCCTCTTAACCTACAAGAATGGAACAGACCACATTGATGTAATTTTGGAATGGCAAAACACTTCTAGGAACCAGCATGGATTTTCAACTTGTCACTCAGTCTAAGAGATCCTTCTTTAAGGCCGTATTGCTCAACAAGATCTTTTTACAGAAACAAAGTCAGAAGTTTTTCCTCCACTTCAGGATTTCCAACACTTGAAAACATACTGAAGTAGTTACAGCAATGCATATTCTTGTAAAAAACAATGTAAGAAATTATGTTCAAATGAAGGCTCTCAAAATTATTATTCTGAAGTCACATTTTTATAGGTTTTCATGGTCCCTCCCAGTTGTAAGGAGCATTTAAAAGGATGCCCCACTTATGGTTACTACTTCCTCTTAGAATTACAACAAACAAACCAGACTTCAGGATACAGATCAATAATTCTTGGAATACCATGTGGAAATACAAGCTCCACATCTTCTTCCAAGCATTCACAAACCCTAACACTAGGACAGAAAATTGGAACATACAAATCCAAACATTTTGTACAGGCATCTCTGATTTGAATTCAACCCTAACTGCAGTAAGATAATGGTCTTGATCTAGAAAATCCAGTACTTATTTACAGACTAGTACATTGATCAGCTACTGCCAATTAAAAAAAAAAAAAGTATTTCTCAAATTAATTTTTCATCTTATAGCCATTCATGAGTATTTTTTTAATTGTTGTTATGCCAAAGAACCTTTCACTGCCCTTTATTTTTGCAGATATTTAATCAAGTAACCTTCCTTTTTGGAAAAACTGAACAGCTCAAGATTTTGAAGTCAGGGCAAGCTGCTTCTTACCATTCCTTCAATTTTTTCTATCCATCGTTATATGTATAACTATATTAAAGCGTGTTTTCTTTGAATATAAATACAGTTTACAATGCAAATCACATAACTTTGTGTCACTGTCCTGTCTGCGTTTTACACTATTTTCAAATTTATCAACAGTGATACTCTCTTATTGATCGCTGCCTGGTGCTAGTCTTGGAACCAGTCCCACCACAACTTGACAAGTATAATGATTCATGTTCCTTTCTCACTGACAGTTTCTGACATCTTTCAGCCAACTTGTAACACATTTGTCAGATATAAATATATGTAGATATTAAGCGTTTAGGACATGCATCAAACTGCAGTCTTATAAAAAAGTTCTGAAATTCTGAATCAATGCACAGTATAGAAGCTGAAGAATAACATCTATACAGCTAACCTATACCTGCCCTCAACAGAACCGATTTTCTTTTTGATTTGACTGTAAATCCGGCTTGGCATGACTACTTCCCATAAAAAACACATTGATGTTCAAAAAAGAGCCACACTTAGAAATAAAATTAACTAAATTTTGTACCTGTTTTACACTCTTGTGTCCAGAACAAATTTTAGGTTGGACACCACTAATAATTCAGGCTGTCCTGTTGTTTTTATTGAATACTGAGGAGGCAAACATTCTTATAGTCGTTGTTGATTACATTTGAGTCCAGTACTGGTTCTTTCCAAATAGAGAGGATATTGATTATTTCTATCTGGCATTATCATCAATTTTTCTCCACCTGAGAGCCTAGCCCAATGATAAAACTTTTAAAATTCTCTATAATCTTAAAATCCATTTTGCTCAGTTTGTAACTCTACCATAGGGCAATAAATAAAACATTCAAGCTGCAGTACTCCAGAACTCAAACCAGTTCTCTTGAAATCTGCTGCTGACTGGTCAGAGATGAAAAGAAATCTAATAGATTTTCAAGTGGAGTGGAAGTTGGACAGAATTAAAAAGTAAAATTTATCTTATTGCCACAAAATAAGTTCTATCATGCCTATACTACTCCTTATGTTACTACAGAATGAAGGGATAAATGAATTTTCAACCAGAAGCAGCAAAAATATCAAATAAACTGGAAAAAACTACACTGTAAATTGGTCTTTAACAATCAAAGGAAGCAGAGCTTATACATGTAATAATTTAAAAGCAATTTTCACAGAAAGATACCCACAGGTCTTTTATATGAAACTGGTGTCCTTATAGACAGACTGAATCTGAATATCAGGTGAACCCAATTAACCTAATTTGATGCTTGTGCATACCAAGACATTTATTTTAGATGTTACACAAAATCCTTTAGGATACTACACAGAAAACGATAAATAGGCTGTAAAGGTTATGACATTAATTTTACTGTCATTCTCACGCTTTAAGCAGGCATCAAAACTAAAAATCTCATCCTCTGGGAAGGAAGAACTATCTGAAAGTAATTATAGGACTCATTATCATAACAGTATTAAACTAAACGACTATGACCCTAACTAAATTTATTTTTGGTACCTTTTGTTAAAAGAACAAAGCTTCTCAATGATGATTGCACCTTCTAATGCAGCGAACATTAGTTCAGGTACTGGAAGAAAGCATTAAATCAAATCTTATAATTTCATATTAAGCTTAATTATGAATTTTCATTTAAAACTAGGTATATAGAGAAGTGTTGGTTAAATATTATTATGTAATTTCATTTCAGAAGGAAAACATTCAGCTAAAAAGAAAAATTAAATACTTAGTACAGTTTAGAAAGATGTTCTCCTAACAGAAGCCCATGAAATGTCAATTTATATTTCAATAGCAATTTTATTCACTTCATTTTTCACACCTGTTCTTTCACATACTGTGCCATCTTGTAAATGAGAGTGCCATGCAACCATTTCCCCAAATTTAGAAACTTTTCAGCAGAAACCAAGTTCCCCCAAAAGCACAAATGAATCATATCAGCATATCTCCAGAAAAGTTAGCAAAATCCATTGGTATTTAAAGGATTAAATTAATGATTAAAACATTGAAGCTACACAAAAATGCTGAGGAAGGTAAAAGTGACAGACATAAAGATTGACTAGTGCAACACACAAAAGCATTTGTTCAAGCAAGTATATTTGCCAAAAGCCTGCAGTGCTTGGCTACTTTATAAAATCAAGCACAAGGCATTAAGCCAATTTGTTTTAAAAATAAAAAAACCCTCCAGAACCCCAAACCTCAATAACCAAGCAATAGCTGATTTGCATTTCTGAGAAGCTGCAAAAATATTCTGCATTTCACTATCCAGATCTTCAGTTGCAGAAGTCTGATTTATTCTTATGCAAAATTTCTATTTTAAATCATATTTTCACATTAGGATTTCATCCTACATCAGTAGATCCTCATCCTCCTATATCCAAAGAGATATGCATGTAGTCACAAACAACAGCTTTCTTAGAAGAGAAATTACACACTGCTTATGCTTCCATACTTAGGTAATTAATCAGGGAGAAATGTGTGTCCGTGGCAGAATTCTATTTGGCTGAGCCCATTAGGTGACTTCAGCAGACAGCCAAAAAGAAACAGAAGCCTCATTGCATCTGGTCACTTTTCCCAGTACAAACCCAGCAGAACCTAAAACCCAGGCTATTTTTAAATTTTTGGTCATCCTATGAGATGGACCAGTCTGAGTGCATTTCCTGAACTTGAAGCCTTATATGCACTGAACGCCACAGTGGCAATCCTGGACAAAAATTCTTCCCTTCATACAATGTTAGGTGATGTATAGAATGGTTGGCTGGCATGCCTACACTATGCCCATCTGTCAGAGTGGAACTGTGCCTACACGACAGGTTCTATGCTACTTTCAATAACATGTTGCTGATAATAAAAGCTTATTTGTGAAACAACATAGGGCAACTTCAACGTTTGGCTTAAAAAGCAAATGGAAAGTGATTGCTTTGCTTGAGGAGATAAATCTTTTGAAATCACCTTCTAAGGTTTTTCAATTGTATGAATAAAGCTAGCACATACACTGCAAGAAATGAGGATGTTCCGCACATTTTCTACTATTGAAAACAGCCCAGCATACAGTCTCAGTAATTCTTATTTTTACAGCTACAGCTATCTCCAAGAGAGCAAATTCAAGGACCTGAGAAAAATTTATAAAAGCTAAGTTTCTCAAAAGGGCTCCTGGGAGAAGAGAAGGCTAAAGAAGGAGCAATATCGATTCTTCATTTTATGAAATATATGTGTATCAAATAAATCGTAGCTGAACAGTTTTCATGACTGTAAATAACCCCAACCATTTTCCATTTGAGAAAACAACTTCATTCTGAAGAACTAAAAAAGAAGAACAAGGAACAGCACGGTTGCTATTATGCCTAATATTAGAAAATTCATAGGATGCAAAAAATAACACTTTTTTTCCAAATTTCCAATTTAAAATGATAAATTGTCATTTCATGTTTTCCTTAGTAAATACCTTCTCAGTAGTACTGCTTTGAATGCTGCAAACTGGAGTCCTGTGTAAGTTCCACATCTGTATTAGACACCTTTGCTATTATATGCTGTATTAAAAGGTCAAAGCTTCTGATTTTAAAACTGTCTTGGATCTTACTGTTGTGAAAGTAACTGTGAAATGATGAATCAGTACAAATTGCTACATTTTGTTCTTGATTCTTAGGGTAGATGGAAACAATAGTTCTGGAAAAGACAAACTACTCATTTCATTTTTAGAAGATACTACATGAAATCAATGCTGTCAATAATTCTTACAATTTAAATTCAGATTAATTTAGTATTTTAAAGAATCAAGAAACAGAAATATCTAGCACTCTTACTTGGCAATGACTACTCTAGAATTTAAAATTAAAACTGTGCAATTCCTTCTACTCCTGATACCCCTGCCCCACATTATCCTAGTCCTAAACTAAGCATTAATTTATTTTTTGGGTCCAAACTGCTAACAAGTTTTGTCAGGATTCTCAATAATGCAGTTTGATAAGACATTATCTATGTATCTTACAATTCTGTTAGTAATATGTAATGTCATTCATAGTGGAATTGCAGTACACCACTACGGTTTTCAGTTTGCAATGCCTGATTAAATTGTGAGACTTTTTGACTTTGCTGTTGTTCATAATTAATGACTGTTTCAGTCTAAAAAGGACAGAATACATAATTTATCTTTCACTATGTATCTGCTGCAGTATATTAGCTTTCTTTTCAGATAAACAATATCACAAATACTAAACAGTGATTTCATTGCAGTTATAATAAAATTTACATAGCTTTAGACAAACATCTGCAATTGTGTACACAGGTACTCACATGATCATTCAGGTTGACAGGGACTGTGCCAGGTCATCCCAACCAACCTCCTTGCTTAAAATCAGGGTCAACACTGGGCTTTAGGGCTTTGTCCAGATGGGTCTTGAGGACCTCCAACCTCAACAAATGCCTTTCAGAAATCAAATTATATTTACCACTTGACAACAAGGATAGCCTGAAAAATCACATTAACATTGGATCTATGTACATAGGACAGATTGTTCCAGCAATTCCTGCTGCAATGCTCTGACCACACTTCAGAATTAGCTAAAAAGGTACTCAAAAAAACCCTTCCTGTATTTCATTCTACACTGAAGGATTAAAGAGAATTTTACTATCTTTTAAAAAATTGCCATACATACTTTTTATTTACTTGCTCTTACACTACAGATAAACTTAAAGATGACTAAAGGAAAGACTGAAAAAACATTACTTGGACATTACTTGCCTTTTTCCATCTTTCTCAACTTTGACATTTGAGGAATAAGCTATTACTGATAGCATAACAACAATTTTCCAGTGAAAATGAAGTTTTAGGATTCTGTTAATTATCAATTTAGACTATGAAAACAACCAGCCAGGACTGCAACGCTGAAAGGAGAGCAAGTGTTCTGTTTTCTTAATTTGGTAGTCCTAACATTTTTAGAGATATTTGATACCTCAGAACTTACTCACACATAGTCAAAATGTATTTGAATGTCTCAGATAACACAACCCTAAAAATTCCATTAATAATTTACGGATTAAGACAAGAGTATGACACATTCACCTGCACAATCTGACTGAAGTTTGAAATGTGGCACTGAAGTCTTTGCCAAATCATAGCTGGCCCTTAAGTTATGTAAAGACTAAACAAGAAACAAACGATCCCTCATGACTTCTTCCATTTTGACTATGGTATTTTGGTTTATTTGGACACTAACCTGAATCCCTCAGGTGACTAAAATAAGATAAAACTTACCGTGTCATTCAGGAAGGATTTTGTACAGGGTTTTTATTATTTTAACAGTCTCGAGCATGTTGTTAATGTTCTACTTCAAAGAAAGGTAACCAACAGCTGACAAAAAGCAAAAAAACCCACTCCAAACTTTGCAAGGTGAATTGCCTTTGCAATTCTGACTCAAATAATGGAATTATTTCTGACTTTACAGCTGCAAAGTTGAGCATAGTACTAAATTTTGCCATGGTACTAAATAAGTAAAGTAAGCATCATCTATAGTTGTTTTTATAAGAATTTCCGTTACCGAGTTTCTTAAACAGTGAGCTAGACAGCTTTCAGTCAGAAAGCTACACTCTGACATTTACATTTGTGCAGCAACATGCCCCATACAAAAAATACACTACATTTTAAAAAGTAACTTCAATGTGTCTTATTCACAGACACAAGCAAAATAAGCATTCAAGAACTGAAAAAAAAAAAGAAAAATAAAAGGACCTTACTATTACATGGCATAGAGGACAAAGTGAGAAGGCAAACCTATGCCTTTGCCTGATCAAGCAATAAATGAGCTAGGCCAAGATGGTATGGATTTCCAGGATGTTAAAATTCAAACTGCCTATCAACTAATGACTTTTAAGAGAAAGTCCCCCCGCAAAAGGGCTCACCTGTAACATACATATTTTTAAGGCAGAAGTTAGAGAAACAAAGAATAGAAAAAGGGTATTAGTGCCCCCACCCTCCCCACCCCCCAAAAAGTAACACTGCCGAATGCCTAAGACCAATCAAAGCATAATAGATTCTATGGACTAATCTCTCTCAACCAAAAAAGCTCTTAGTAAGAATTACACACTGAAATATTTAGTTTTATACATTGAAGGAAAAGGCCTGTTTTCTTCAGCTGAACTTAAAAATAACCTCCAAATTCTACAGAAGAATTCCCTTGAGAATGTTTAACTGTTGTGAGCACAGTCCTTGCAGATTTCCCTGTACTGAAAATATACCAGATAACTCATCAGATGGTGTACTAAGAACTGTTTTGACTGGTTTTGTTCTACACTGATTCTACCCCCAAACTCTGGCTCTAACACCGCTAACCTAGACAGTGTTTCAGGGCTAAGGACCATTCTTCTAGACAGCTGAGTGCCCAGTACATTTTAAGAACACATATACTTTTAAAACCAGCAATGGAAATATGAAAGTTGGATTTTCTTAATGATGCTGAACATTAAAAACATTGCCCAACTATGAATTATATCCTGTGTTTCCCAAACATGATCCTGCTCACCAGAAAGGAATATGTACTTAACAGATCACACTTTAAAAACCCATAAAAATCTAATGA